TTAAATTCTAAATGGAAACAAATAAGAGCAAAATTATTCTTATTAAACAATAACACATTAATTGTTTTTCACATATTATTGGTGCATAGACATACTGCATTGAAATTGAACAAAGACACAATATAATGTAAAAGCTTATCCTTTGAATTTGAGATAATTTAGTTAAAAACTGCTAAGGTTTCTCAAGAGCATGCATGCAAAAATGTATTTCACCTAAATGTTCCAGGATGAACAGATACTGTATTTAGCTCTGTTTAATAATCTAAATGTAAGAGCTAAATTCAGCCTCGTCAACTTTTTCCCCAAAAATACTACCAAAAAGTCATAATTCAAAGTATTAAGCCTGTGTGCTAAATGCATAAATGGTGAATATCGAACCATTCTAGAAACATATCAAATTTCAAAGCTAAAAATATCCTGAATGTGTTGCATGCTGCATATCTATTTATGAAAATACTTTATTATTTTCAATTTTTATTACAATTTGATATTAGTACAACACATCTAAAAACAGAGTTCACAATATCTAATCTTCTTTCAGATCAAGTGTCTCAGATATCTGCAGGAGCTTTATTAGAACATTAGCTGTAATATAAGAATAAAGATATATATGAGTCTTTAAGTTGGTGTAACTGTATCAGATCAGCCAGTCTGGATGACGTGGCCGGGTAATTTATCATTTTATTGCATGTAGTTCATTAAATGATTTGGTTAGCAGAATGATACCAGAGGAAACAATGGGATTTATTCATGCAAAAAGGACACTGTTTATTTTATTATTATTTTTTTTACACATCACAATAAAGATGACTTGTAGATGTTAGTCCTAGCTCAAACTCGTGAAAGTTAACGCATCATAGTTTGTGCTTATAATAATGATTGGCTACAATAATTACGTCAATACAGAAATAATGAGGAATCACATTTTTAAAAACGTCTTTATTGAAAGAGAAAGAAAACTTGAAGGGAGTAGGGATAGAACAAATCCATATATTAATATATAATCCGCAATACATAATAGGGTCATATAAACTTACAGTTGAAAGATAAGGTGATGCATCTCAACTGGAGACAGCAAGGCAGTGTTAAACAGAACGAGAGGGTCTAAAAATGTGTTCAAGGCCAGTCACAACATTTACAAGCATCAACAAAGACCAGACCAGGCTGGCATTTCTGTAGGTATGTGTTGCCACGGAAACAGTGGAAGTAACTGGTGGCATCTGCAGGGTTGGGGTAGAGCCCGTCGGGTTTGCCAACACAGAAAGAATTGACAGGATCAGCAGTTGTGGTGGGACGAGGAGTCGTGGTTGGCTTGGGAGGGAAACCTGTGAGAAACAGAACATTGAGTATTATGTCTATAGAGTGCAGCACGTAACAATAAATAAGTTGATTACCTAGTGAGTTGCGCAAGTGGGTAATAAGGGGGTAAGCTCCACTGTAGCAGAAGCGTCCAGTGAAATCATCTAAATCTAGAGTCCAGACTGAAGCCCCGCCCAGGTTTAACGAGTTAAGCCACTGCACCTGTTCGTAATACAAATTTGTCAGGTGCTTCTCAAATGATTTGATGCAGTAGAGTCTGGGGAAGAAAGGCTGTTTACCTTAGCGGCAAAGCTTTCAAGATTGTCAAATCCCACCCAAGCCTTTCCTTGAACTGTATAGGGCACCATCTGTTCTTCAAGCCAGTTAACTGTGCCACTTGATTCCATGGGGCAAATCTGGAGTGAAATCAGTCCATGTTATGTAACAGACATGATATTAACATTCAGAAACTAATACATTTGCTTCTATTATTTGAGCCGACTGTTTTATCCAAAGCAACTAACAATGGACTACTTGCACAAATGCTTCCACATTCTGATAATTAGATTTTTATTATTTCCAGATGTAGCAGTCACTGCATTGAGCCCTCTCTATTTTCTGGATTTTCTGAAAGTAAACTGGAGAGAAGACTTAAATTGTATGGCACTTCATACAGACATAGGTATGGCAGTAAAAAAGGTTTGGTTTCGTTGTTTACATTTCCACGACTTACCAACAGCCAACATAACACTATTTATTTCCTTTCTTTTATAGGCACATTAATAGATGTGCAATGCTATCGGAACAACACGATCAAGGTTAGTTTAATGATTTGCAGCCCACCATTCAGGTATCTGTTGCAAACTTAATCCTACTTTGTGTAAAATCAAATCTTCTCGTCTGAACCAGCAAACTCTGCAATATTTTAAATAGTTCTCCCTCAATTTCAACAAATCTCTATGAAACTTGCTGTAAAATGCCAAATGGTTGATCTCCTCTTTTGAAGCTAGTAATTCTGTATCTAAACATTATATTGTATCAAACATTTCCTGATGTAATTATTTAAATGTAATTTTATTTGTAAATGATAAGTTTGTATAAATATTTATTATTTAATATACATAATTTGCTGAGTGGGTTTCCTCCGGGTACTCCAGTTTCTCCCACAATCCCAAAAAAACATGTGGTTAGGTTAATTGAATAATCTAAATTCCTCTTTAGGTGAATGTGTGATTCTCTAGATGTGCGATGGACTGGCGACATGTGCAGGGTGTACTATAGCCTCTCACCCGAAGTGAGCAGTAGATCACCAGCAGACAACTGTGACCACGAAAGAGAACAAGTGGTTCCAAGTTGTTTGTAGGGTCATTTATGTTTCTATTGATCAGGTAGGAACTTCCTGTATCCTCTACGTGCCAGAAGTAGAAGGCAATAGCATCGGACTGAATGTCACGCCACAGTTTGCTGGCGCATGTCCATTATATGCACTGAACGGACCTGTCTATTTTATAATAGTTATATATACCATGAAGAGTAAATATTATATTCCCTGTTGTTTTGACAGTTCTAAGAATATATTTTTTAAGTAAAATCCATCAGCACCTCATAGTAGGCCCAGAAGCCTGCTTCTCGTGTGTAGGGACCTGCATCAGCAGGGCCATTGGCTGGGACTCCGAGACCTGTTTGTGAAGTGGACAGTGTAAATGTGCGTCCATATGTAGGGAAGCCCAGCAGCAAGCGGTCTGGGGAGGCTCCACTGCCCAGCCAGACAGCCAAAGAGGAGTTCTGTGCAAAAGAAAAAGGTCTGTAAGAACATGTGATACTCCGTATCAGATGATTTACAAAAACATTCTTACGATATTGTGATGAAGGACACTGCCGCTGTCAGTGGCACTGCGGAAAAGAGGGCTGTTGTGTCCTGTTACAGGGTCCCAGTGGCCATGGTAGTCATAGGTCATGATGGTCAGGAAATCTAATGATCTATTAAGAAAATGTACATATATTTTAATAATTAAATATTGTTGATATTACATGAACTGATTTGAAAAATTTTTAAAATGCCTTTGGGCAACCTAAAATGAGCAGGCATTTGCTTCAGCAGGCAATGATTTCAAATTTTGAACCTTCACATTTTAATCTCCTGCAATATTTGTTCATTCTTTTTTCCATAATTGTAATATTTGATGTAATGGCTTCCTTTCTATATTGTTAAATATTAATATTTTATATTAACTGTACTGAACCTTCTGTAATTTCTTAACTTAAATTCTTTTTTGAATGTGTAACACATTGATATCCATTATTAAAGGTTATCATGAGAAACCAGTGGGTGGACTAATAAATGCTCAGGTACGATATGTAATTATTTATATTTTAAACATGTCGCTCTTTATTATCAACCTATTTCTAGAAACCTCTTCATTAATGAGGTAATCATGGATCTAAAAGCTTAGGTCATAATTTCACACCATCAGACACGTCTTTGTTGACATCTCTAAAAATATCAACAAACAGCATCTCCTTGTGTATTTTTCTATTTTAGAAAGATTTAGTCTTCATGCGCTGATTGGGAAGAGTACTACAGAGTACAAATTTGGCCGCCAGGGATGAATTCTGCAGCTGTTTGACAATAAAATCTTGATTAAAAAATAAGGAACATAAACAATAGTTTGTTGATTGACGGCTTATATCAAGCTTACTGTGAAATGGCATCCATCTCATAAGCGTTCTCAATAGTTGATTTAATGGCGGAAACTTTGGAGGAGATAAGCAGAGGTGTCTTCCTGGTGTCTATAGCCTCTTGTTTGACAGCATCTCTTAGTTCCTGAGAACATAAAACAGAATCCAGCTCAGAGCTGAACTCAAGTCTCTTCTTGGAATGAATGTGCATCTGAGTGCTCTGACCTTGAGGAATGTGGTAAACCTCTGCTTGTCCTGCGGTGGGCTTCCATTGTGACCAGGATACTGCCAGTCAATATCAATCCCGTCAAACCCATGGAGGCGAAGAAATAGGAGCGCAGAACGGATGAAGGTCTTGCGCTTGTCTGGAGTCGACACCATGTTTATATATCTGGAATTCAAAGAAAAACCCAAAGAAGCAATTTTTGTCTGGCTCAACTCTGGCTAGACACCCAACTTTTGCATGGCACATGTACCACAATTAGTTACTGTACCATGAATGTATATATAGATTTTAGACTCCAAAGAAGAGTCAGTTAAAATCTATTCGGATCAAACGAGTTTACTGTCTACAACTCGGTCACTGAGCTATTTAAACTCTATTCAGAGAGGGATCAAATGTCCTTTGAACAGAGTTGATTTCACTTTCCTTTGTACCATTTTCCTATAGTAACCTTTTTATAAAATTTGTAGAAATTAAGTCAATTAGTTTGTGTAAAAGTATTAACAAATTTTTTTTTAACGTTCATTAAATAATCGAAAAAAACTCATGAGTAAGATTACATTTAAATTGTATTACCCAAAGTGCAGTCATTAATCAATGCTATTAAATGATGCGACTGATAAAATATTTTGCACACAAATATAATTTTTATTAATTAGTCATCAATTCACTACTAAAACAGGGCATGAGGGTGCATGCCCCCAGAGACTCCAGATTCCTACTACTGTCCAAAAAGTAAACGTGGCATTAAGATGCCCAGGGTTAACCCATCTTTCACCAAAGCTAAGCATAACTAGTGGCAGTCGTGGCCTAGTGGATGAGGTGATTGACTCGAGATCAAAAAGGTCGCCGGTTCAATCCCTACCCCACTGGGAGATGAAGGTAGGATGAGTGTTGAAACTCTCTCCCTCATTACTGTGGAGTTACCTAAGTCACCAGTTCCCTACAGCTCCCCGGGCACCGCTGCTATGGCTGCCCACTGCTCCAGGTGTGTGTTCATGGTGCGTGCACTTGTATGGGTTAAATGCAGAGCAAAAATTCCTTCTATGGGTCACTCCATACTTGGTCCTAATGTCACTTTCACTAATTTTCAAATAGTGATCTTAACAAATGATTAAAGCAGGTAAAGAAATGGATGTGTGTACGACGACTGTACCAGCTCACATTGGACAAATGTATTTAATTATTTTATTTTATTTGCCTTAGAAGCTACCAGAATGCCCTGAAGAAACCCATGAGCATTTTGAAAACATTCAAGCTGTACATAAAAAGGCCCCCAGATGGAACTTGAGTGAGATTCTTAATATTACACTTTTAAAAAGTAGATTTTAGTTTAGGAAATTATAAGTATTTTAAAACGAGATACATAGATCTACTTACGGACTAACTCCATTGAGCGATCCGCCAACAGAGAGCAAGGTTTTCAGTTCCGGATTTCTACAAAGACACAATTCTGATTAGCTTTCCTCCTAATCTTCTAGAGAAATATCTGTGAAGACATTCACAGTGTGGAAAGAGCTCTTGCTTACACTGTCTTGAGCTCGTTCAAAGACTTGTATAGCACATCGTCGTTCCACTCAATGGTGGTGATCTGGTTATCTAGGCTGATGCTGGCCATAGCATATATGACATGGGTGCACAAGAACGGGTCGATGTGTTCTGGAACAAACTTGCCATTGCCCGGCCTGTACTGTGACCAGTTGGTCATGTAACACACCAGCTTTGTGGAGGACACTGTCACACAATATCACCATTTTGAGCTCATGAGTTCAGTCTCTTCATGTGAATGTAAGGAATATTTTACTGACTGTTCTTACCGATCTGTAATGTGAGCACGATACTCAGTCCTATCAAAACAAAGTGATGGAGCATCAAACATCTTATTCCATGAATAAATTAACACATATTTCACATAAATCTATGATATTATATTTGGAATTCAATTCATTTTTATTTATATTGTTTATTTATTAGGCGCTGAATATTACACTAATTTCAAAACTGTTAAAGTACAAATATTGCAACGGATAAAATGACATAAAACATGACACAATTTCACAGCGTATAGCCTGTGAACTACGCACTGGAATATAACCATTGGAACATACCTGCTAAAATGGTTAATTTAGTCATTCTGCTCTTGATCCAAACACGTTGTCGTCAAAGCAGAACTGAAAAACAAATTTGTATTAAATATGTCACCAGCTATTCTCTGTGGAAATGATCCACGTGTGTTGGTCCAAACAATATTTATGCAAAAGCAGATCTTTACCTGTGACAGCTACACTGAGAACAGGCAGTTTGGCCAAATCCTCGTCTTGATCATCCATACTTATACATTATTAATAGTTCCAAAGTACAGGAGATAAGTGCTAACTTTACCACAATAGGCAGTAAAATTAATACTAATCATATACCTGGTGCATTACAGAAAGAGATGTTATCTTTGTACGGTGTCATGACATTGTTAGCTAATACCATTTAATAATTCCTCAATTGCAGGGTTTGAAATTTGAAATGATCAAGACTAAATAAATCAATAATCAGGGAAATGTAAGCGGGTTTATGAAGACTGACATAACAAAGGCCATTTTAAAAAAAGTACAAATGGTATAAAAGAAGATGTTTTCCTATAACTTGAACATCCGTCCTTCCATTAAGGCTCTCCTCAAACTTCATGTGGCCTTCATATTAGCTCAAGAACGAAGCTTCCCAGAATTGATTTCCTTGTTGTAGCAGCAGCTTCCAAGAAATTCATCACCAAATGCAACACAACGCACTCTAGAGTAGTTCATTTGGAGTAACGAATCACCGATCTGCCAGTTTTATGAACAAGTCTGGTTTGGTCTGGCAGGGAAACACTGATTGATTGAATTGTGAAGTTTCTGCATAAAGAAATGAATTAGTTTGGTGGGTGGGGGAGAGTGCTGACCTCAACCTGCATACAGTTTGTGCAAAGGAGGGTGAGAAAATACTTTTGGCAAGACAGTGCATGTCAACATTGTTATGTTGTAAACCCAAAAACCAGAAAAACCCAAAGAAAAATACCAAAAATAAGCTCAAACAATGGCATATCGGTACAAAAATAAAAGTAATTTATTTTAAAGAGCATCCAACCAAATTACAAAACCAAAAGTGAAACATATTTTACGTCTGCACGTGTGCGCCTGTGCCCCTGTGCACTTCCCCGTCTCAAGCACAAATCAAACATTTATATACAAACTAATGACACCTCGCTTCATCAGGCACAGCTAACGGAAGCTGACTTCCCCAACACAATAAACACCACATAACCGTATTATAAAAAATAATTATGATTAAACAACCATAAATATTACCAGAATATAAATTCATAAGTTTGGATGAGGGTGAAGGAGCCCGCTCCTTCACATAACCTTCTCCCTCTCCAAGCCGTGCATTGTCGGACCGTAGAGAGGAGCAGATGTTGTAATGTGGTTTCCAAGAGCCAAGGGAGAAGAAAGGCGAGTCCGGGAACAAGGAGAATGCAGTTTTTGGACATTTTATTTTGCACCACGTGATACAGGAACAAACAAAGCCAAAAAAAAAAAAAACAAAAGAACACCATAACAGGAACTTTTTATGTCACTGACTTCTCCATAGCAACCACAAATTCTACCCTGGCAACCAATCCATTCAGCTCTTTCCATTTTGGCCAACATCAAAGTTTGTGTACAAACTGCCATCTAGTTGTAAATGAACATTTTTTAAGTTACGTGAAAATATAATCTATAGTTTTAACTGAAATGACAACTTTAAATACACCACAACACTGGTTGTGTCGTGTTAGTTGAAAGAACTTTTAACAGTATTTAGAATTAAATGAGAATTTGCTGCTGTTTATAATCTTGTTGGTGCTAATAATGAGAGATAGTAAACTGCACAAACGTATGACACTGAGTGAGTGACAGCAATAACTACAGGAAGCCTAGCTAGCGAACCTCTTCTCTAATGTAAATGATTTGCACAGATCTATCTATATACAAGCAGAAGGCCCATAGATGTCTTCATTGCTTTAGTGTCCATGATAAATCCCACTTTACAGTATTATCAGGTGTCAATGCTTTTTTTAATGCCTTTAAACATCGTAGTGTTGAAATCAGTCTGGAAACCATATTATTAAGGAAACTTTATCATCGACAACTTATCTGTAAGTTGTAGTGATCACAGCAAAGTCCTAAACTATAATAATCAGAATGACTCACAGTTAGAACTTTTGCATATTAAACACAGTTTGTTTTGCCACTCAGTCTTGCTGAGTCTCAGTAAAGGGGTGGGGCCTAGTGGGAAAGTGATGCCAATGCAAATCCTCTATAAAACAGAAGCAACTTAAAACCAAACACACTTTGTTCAAATCCAATCAAAATGTTTTATTACTGAAGAATATTTACAAGTGCTGCTTTATCCACATTCAGTCCGCAGTGGACAGGCTTGACTATTACATCAGCTGGGGTACACGGCAGTACAAAAACAACCAGACATCACATCCTGAGTGACCATCAGAGTCAAACTATCATGTCATCGGACTCTGCACACATACCTGTTCAGCCAGTGAAGAACTAGAAACGGCATGAAACCATTGTGAGCTGCCAAACTAAAGGATGCAGAACACAACAGAAACAGTACAAGTGAAGTATAAATGTGAACAAAACAAGCTACAAAGACGAGAGGACACTTGTAGAGGCTTGTAGTCTTTAAGTGACTCCTACATTTGAAAAGTGATATTTTTGTGACTAGAATTTGGTGCTAAAACCACTAAAATCTATCAATGGTGTGTATTACATTTGGCTCTTAAAAGTGACCAGAAATTTTAATTTACAGTTAAAAGTCCACAAGCATAAATGTGAAAAGTCTGGGAGTACATTGAGGGAAAGAAGTGTTTTGTCAACAGATTACAGAATGTAATAGTTATTTCACTCATACAAAAAAGTTTTCAAATGCATCTTTTTTTGTGATTATTATATTTCTCACAGTTGAAATAAACCTACCATTAAATGAATGATCCTTTCTTTTTCTGTGGGCAAGCATTCAGCGGGGGCTCAAATTTCTTTCCCACATTGTAAATAAACGGACAGTGATTGAGAAGATACAAAGAAGCTCAAAGTATCAATATATTTACATTAAAGAGCTGATGGTAAATAGAAAATTAAATAAAATAAATACAAAAAGGGATTAGAAAAACGTTATAAAACTAAACATTTTTTCATCTTTGAAAATTCACATATAAAAGTAATGAAGGCAAAACATTAAACATCAAACTTAAATATATAACAAGAAATATTACTTTCTAGCGAATTGTCTATATTTTCAAATTGTCCATAATTTCAGATTTCTCTCTGTTTTACCGCTGTTTCACAGTCCTGTTTAGACGGTTTCATAGTATTAGATAAAACATAAAGAAAAAGACTGGGGTGGACTGGCAAACTGTCCAGGGTGTTCCCCCGCTTCTCGCCCAAAGTATGCTGGAGATAGGCAACGGCAGCCGGGTTGGAAAATGAATGAATGAATAAAGAAATACGGTGTCTACCATAAATCTTAATATATGTTCAATAGTGAAATGAAATACATTAAAGACAAATTTTACAAAAAAATGGCTTGGTGTAATTTTTATAGAGTATTTCAAAGAACCCAGTTAATCTAAAGTAATGTAGGCTTTCCAAGTTTCCGCAATCTGTCACTTATTGTCTTGTTTTTATCGAATAACGTCATTCACAATCAAGATTCAAAGAAACGAATACCCTATGATTTGTTATGATCTAATTAGATAATAATTAACAAATTTATTTATGAGTTTATCATCGTTATTGTTCAATGTCCAGTGACTGACTCTTATGCCAAGAAACAAAGTAATAAGCT